GGGTTGGCCGGTGCCATGGCTCAATAGGCTAATCCTCTGCCTGCGGCTCCGGCACCCTGGGTTGTAGTCCCGATTGGGGCGCCGGTTCTGTCCCGGTTGCTCCTCTTCCAGTCCAGCTCTCTGCTGTGGCCCAGGAGTGCAGTGAAGGATGGCCCAAGTGCTTGGGCCCTGCACCCGCATGGGAGACCAGGAGAAAGCACCTGGCTCCTGGCTTCGGATCCATGCAGTGTGCAGGGCGTAGTGACCATTTGGGGGGTGAACCAATGAAAGGAAGACCTTTCTCTCTGTCTCTCTGTCTCTCTCTCACTGTCTAACTCTGCCTGTCAAAAGAAAAAAATAGAGCAAGGGTTAAGATGCTGGTTGGGATCCCACATTCCCCATGTGAGAGACTGAGTTAAGAACAGACTCCCCTTCTGATCCAGGTTCTTGGTCATGTGTACCCTGGGAAGGCATCAGATGATGACTTAAGTCCACGGGTCTCTCCACCCCAGTCAGAGTTCTGGGCTCCTGGCTTCAGCTTGGCCCACTCCTGGCTGTTGTGAATATTTGGGAAATGAACTAGTGGATAGAAGATCTCTCTCTGTCTCTCTGTCTCTCTCTCTCTTTTTCTATCTCTCTGTCTCCAGTTTTCAAATGAAAATAAATTTTAAAAAGTAAGAGGAGGAAGGTTAGAGATTTGAGAAGAGTTTGCATTATTGAAATCTTTAAGATGTTAATGAGACTTTTTCAGACCCTTAACAACAACTTTTAGGAATGAAAAAGATTTGTTGTCCATTTGATACCCAATTTACCAAAGTTATATTTAAAAAAAAAAACTCTCTCCTTGGACTTTAAATTTTAAGTTACAAATCTTGTGATTCTCCTGTTTGAAAAATTAACATATTTTTAAAATTGCCATCAAAGAGCCTTCACAATTTAATTAGTTATAATCTCTTGGCAGAGAGCAGGACATGCTACTCCAAACTACAGTGCCTGCTCTCATGAGTATTTTAAGGTGAAGGTAACTGCTGTCATGAGTATTTACTCTTTTATTTAAGGTACACAAACTTCATGCCTTTCATAAGTACAACTTTAGGAACATAGTGATTCTTCCCACTGCACCCACCCTCCCACTCACACTCCTACCCTTCTTTCTCCTCCCTCTCCTATTCCCATTCTTTTTTTTTTACTCAGATCGATTTTCAATTAACTTTATACATAGAAGATGAACTCTATACTAAGTAAAGAGTTCAACAAATAGTGTGAAAAAAACTGTTCCTCAACGATTTTTTGATTTCTTCTATGACCCCCTGTTCATTCAGGAGCGTGTTGTTCAGTCTCCATGTGTTTGCATGTGTTCTAGGGACTCCTGAGTTGCTGATTGCCAGTTTCATTTCATTGTGGTCAGAGAACATATGTGGTATGATTTCGATTTTTTTGAATTTGCTGAGACTTGCTGTACAGCCTGGCCTGTGGTCCCTCCTACAGAAAGTTCCATGCACTGCTGAGAAGAATGTGTAGTCTGCAGCTGGAGGACGAAGAGTTCTGTAGATATCTGTCAGACCCATTTGGTCTATGGTGTTGATTAACTCTGTTGTTTCCTGCTGATTTTCTGTCCGGTTGATCTGTCCATTGCTGAGACTGGGGTATTGAAATCCTCCATTACTCTTGTATGAGAGTCTGTATCTCCCTTTAGATCTATTAACATTTCTTTTAAATAGCCAGAAGACCTGTAATTAGGTGCATATACATTTATTACAGTCACATCTTCCTGTTGAATTGATCCCTTAATCATTACATAGTGCCCTTCTTTGTCTCTTAACAGTTCTTGTGTTAAAGTCTATTTTGTCTGAAATTAGGATGGCTACACCAGCTCTTTTTTGGTCTGTTAGCATGGAACATCTTTTTCCATCCTTTCACTCTCAGTCTGTATGAATCTTTGTTGGTGAGATGTCTTTCTTGTAGGCAGTAAATAGATGGGTTTGTTTTTAATCCATTCAGCCAGTCTGTGTCTTTTAACCTGAGAGTTGAGGCCATTTATATTCAAGGTGAATGTTGATAAGTAATGACTTGGCCCTGATGTTTTTTCATGAATATTTCTATTGCTTACTTTGGATTTCCTTTGTACTTTTACTGGGAGATTTTCTGCCTTCACCTTCTTTCATAGTGATGACCATGTTTTTGTGTTTCTGTGTGTAGCACATCCCCAAGCATCTTTTGTAAAGCTGGATGAGTGGTGACAAATTCTTTCAATTTACATTTGTTATGGAAGGTCTTTATTTCACCTTCATTCATAATTGAGAGCTTTGCAGGATACAGTATCCTGGGTTGATAGTTTTTTTTCTCTTAAGGCTTAGAATGTATTTCACCATTCTCTCCTAGCTTGTAAGGTTTCTGATGAGAAGTCTGCTGTGAGTGTAATTGGAGATCCTTTTAAAGTAATCTGGTGTTTCTCTCATGTACATTTTAGAATCTTTTCTTTATGTTTTACTGTGGAAAGTTTGAAGATCTTTTCTGGTCATGTTTATTTGGAGTTCTATGTGCTTCCTGTAGTTGGGTGTCCCTTTCTTTCTCCAAATTAGGGAAGTTTTCTGTGATGATTTCACTATTTCACTAAAAAGGCCTTCTAATCCATTCTCTCTTCCTTCACCTTCAGGATTTCCTAAGACCCATAGGTTAGGACACTCAATAGTATCCCATACATCTCCATAAATAATAAATCCCATAAATCTGTTTCTAATTTATCCTTCTTTTTTTTTTTTTTTGGTCTGACTGTAAAATTTCCAGAGGTTTGTCTTCTAACTCAGATATTCTTTCTTCTACCTGACCGAGTCTGTTGTTACTGCTTCTCGGCCTTTTGGCTAAGATCAAGTGTAGGACCGAGTCTGTTGTTAAGGTTTTCCTGCATATTTTTTTATTTGATCTATTGAATTCATCATTTCCAATATTTCATTTTGATTTCTCTTGAAAACCTTAATTTCATGGGAAAAATTTTCATTCATGTCATGTGTGGATTTCTTTAACTCATGGATTTGCTTCTGATTATTTCTAAGTAGTTCTACAATCAAATTTTTGAATTCCATGTCTGCCATTTCTTCAATCTCTTCATTTTCACATTCTAGTCCTGAAGAGTTGTTGTGTTCCTTTGGAGGCGTCATGTTGTCTTCCTTACTCTTCTTTCTTGAGTGAAGGATTTTGAGCAACACCAGTGCAAGACAGTCTCTCTAACCCTCCCCCTCCCTCCCTCTCAGAGCAGATCCTGACGCTTAGGCAAGGTCTCTTCCTTCCTGGGAAGCAGGTCCTAGGCCCTCTTGTGACATGTGTGCCCTCTCCATGGAGGAAAGGGGCACCTTACCTCTGCACACACGGGAAACCGAGAGGAACCAGAGCAAGCAGGCCTTGCGCAGTGATCCCCACTTATGACTCTTAGCTTGCACCCCCTGCTCCCATCATATTTCTCCCTGACTCTCCAGGCTTCAGCAAACCTGGCACAAAAGCCCCCAGGTTGCACTGCTTCTTCGGCCTTCTTCATGAAGTCTCCCGTAACACACAAAATGTACACAAACTGATCCATCTCCCCCTTCTTACTGTCTCTGGGGACAGAGATCTCAGCCAGGAACCTAACAGTGGGTGAGGAAAAGTGATCTTTTGTTACTGTTTGGCTCCAAGGCAGACTACCCCAAAATACCACCATAGCAGACCAGAATATGCCACCCCTCAAATATATTTGGTTGGCATATTTTGAGTTGGTTATTCTGAGAAACTGCAGACACAGGAGTGGCTCTGAAAAGCTGTCCTTTCCTAAAAGAAATATGCATCTGTAAGGGAAATCTACATTGGTGAAAATGTGGGGAAAGGGGCTTGCCCCAGGCCACTGTCCTTACCCAGGAGGGCTCCTATCGGCACAGGGGACACCCGTTGTTCAGCACACACAATTCCTCCCAGAGCCTGCATGGTCACCTTCCCATTCGCGTAAGTCCCCAACTCCTATCCTTTCTGTAGTTCAGGGTGCTCTAGAAACTTCCATGCTGACCCTTCTTTGAGTCTTACGTTTTCTGGGAGTTCTGTGCATACATATGCAATCAAATATGGTTTTTCTCCTGTTCAGCCGTCTTACTCAATTTAACTTGTGGCTCAGCCAAAGAACCCAGAGGGTGAAGAGAAGAAGGTATTTTTTTTACCTCCGCTAAAGGCCCAGACAATGAACCTAAAATGAGTCGAAGGAAAAGGTGTCTTCCTCCCCTGCATATTTAATTAACTTATAAATAATTCTATTTTATCTTCTTAGTACTCTGAGAAGATTAACAAAGCCTTCCCAAAAACTTAAGTCATTTTTGTAAATGTAAGTCAAACTTATAAATGTGAAACTCATATTCTGTTAGATATTTCAATGTTTATTCACTTCTTTCTCTTATACCTTTCAGCTTGAAAACTTGCATGTAGACCATCATTTGTTTGTATAAAATTGGAATTTTAAGACTAGTGTAGAGGCCAGAATTGTGGTGTAGTGGGATGAGCCTCCACCTGCAGTGCCAACATTCTATATGGGCGCAGGTTCAAGTCCTGGCTGCTCCACTTCCTATCCAGATCCCTGCTGATGGCCTGGGAAAGTGATGGAAGATGGCCCAAGTGCTTGGGTCCCTGTACCCATGTAGGAAGACCCAGAAGAAGCTCTGAGCTCCTGGCTTCAGCCAGGAATGAACCAGTGGATCTCTCTCTCTCTCTCTCTCTCTTTTTGTCTCTGTCTCTCTTACTCTCTCTCTATAAATTTGCCTTTCAAATAAATTTTTAAAAAATCTTTTTTTTTAAGACTAGGCTGTTCTCCTGCTAATGTGCAGCCGGGGAGGCAGCAAGTGGTGGCTGGAGTGGTTGAGTCCCTGTTGGCCACACAAAAGACCTGAATTGAGTACCCAGCTGCCAGTTATTTTGGGAGTGATTGAACGCAGATGAGAATGCTCTCTCTCTCTCTCTCTCTCTCTCTCTCAAGTTTAATTAGTTAACAACAACAACAAAAAGACCAGTGTGTTTAGATTATTTCTGTATTTACATAAAGAAAGAGGCCTGGTGTCCTTTATTATCTCAGTATTAATTTTTTTTTTGACAGGGAGAGTTAGACAGTGAGAGAGAGAGACAGAGAGAAAGGTCTGTCTTCCTTCTCTGTTGGTTTACCCCCTAAGTGACCACTATGGCTGGCACGCTGTGCCGATCCGAAGCCAGGAGCCAGGTGCTTCCTCCTGGTCTCCCATGCGGGTGCCGGCACCCAAGCACTTGGGCCATCTTCCACTGCCCTCCCGGGCCACAGCAGAGAGCTGGACAGGAAGAGGAGCCACCGGGGGACTAGAACCCGGCGCCCCAACCGGGACTAGAACCCGGGCTGCCGGTGCCTCAGGCGGAGGATTAGCCAAGTGAGCCGTGGCGCTGGCAAGTGAACCTTTCTTACTTAAGAAGGGGACAGTTGTCTTTATCAAATTCAGGCTTTCAACCCAGGACGGGGAGGTTAGACATTTCAGAGATTTTTGGCCAAGAGACAGGATGTGAAGCCCCTGGCTGATGCCCTGAGCTCTCACTGGGACTGTGAACCACCAGAATCGCTTAATTCTTCTGATGCCGACCTCCAGCCTCCAGCCTGCGCCAGGACAAATCCCTTCACTGATTGGCTGATCTTCCATTTCTTTGAAAGCAGTGTGCATTTCTTGGGCTCTCTTGGATGTTTTCATGTGGTACTTCAGCCTGGTTCTGAAGACCCCTCAGACCCCGGCCTCTTTGTCATGCCTTTATGATTTTTTGCAGCCTCTTAACTTGATTGCCTGAGTTGACCAAAGAATGCTGCATTTTTTTCCATATTTTCCCATCGGACAGGTTCAGGACTCTTGAAGTTATTTAAAAAGCATCCAGTTGGATGTTTTTGACTCTTAGTCATGGAGGAAAGAAAAATCTTCTTGTTTCTATTAATCCTCAGGTTCATGGCAGAGACCCCTATAACAAAGCACAGATTAGCAAGAGAAAAGCAAACACATTTCTTTAAATTGTATGTGACGGGGCCGGCACTGTGGCTCACTTGGTTAATCCTCTGCCTGAGGTGCCAGCATCCCATATGGGCACCAGGTTCTAGTCCCGGTTGCTCCTCTTCCAGTCCAGCTCTCTGCTGTGGCCCGGGAGGGCAGTGGAGGATGGCCCAAGTGCTTGGGTGCCTGCACCCGCATAGGAGACCAGGAAGAAGCACCTGGCTCCTGGTGTTGGATCGGCACAGCGCTGGCCATAGTGGCCATTCGGGAGGTGAACCAACGGAAGGAGGACCTTTCTCTCTGTCTCTCTCTCACTGTCTAACTCTATCTGTCAAAAAAAAAATTGTATGTGACATGAGAGACTTCAGAGGTGAAGCTCCTCCCCAGATCAGATGGGTTGGTGCATTTTTTATGCTGGATTTAAGTGGGAAGTGGTTAGTCATGGAGCAGTGTGACTGGACACATAAGGATGATCTAAAGGCTAGAAAGTGGGGGGAGCTGAGTGAAGCCCACGTGTCTGGACTCTTCTCTGTGACCCTGACTCATGCTTCTTCCCCAGGACAGGCAGGCCCCTCTCCCACGAGGGTCTCACGTCCTGCTGCAGGCGGGGAGGATGGAAGCAGAGCAGAGAGTGACCGTCCTGGGTTTCGGATCCGCTGCAGGGGAGGAGAGTGGGGAAGTGAGAGTGGCCTCCCCGTCCCTTCAGTTTTCTCAAATGCCAAGGGGCCATATTTTGGGTGTAGCGTGTCCTGAACCTCCTCATTCAGAACAAGAAAATCATACTAATGGTCCAGAGGAAAACTCTGTTACTCTTGGAGGATTCTTCCTATCTTTCAAAAATTACTAGAATTTGCATAGCTAATGCACACATGTGCTTGAACATTCAAAATCACAGAAGAGCAAAACGCAAAAAGCGAATCTCCCTCCCTCCTCTGTGTCTAGTCTGCCAGGGCTCCTTCCTGGAGGCAAACAAGGTTACTGTAATGTGTACTTCCTTCTAGCGTGATTCTGTGCATTTGCAAGGATGCAGATGTGCACATACACTTAGCATCGTGTGCACGTGACAGCATGCCATACATTCTGCTCTGCACCTGCTTGGTTGGTTGCTTGCTGCCTGACCATATATGTTGGTTGTGGACCCATAGCCATGCATAGAGCTGCCTCATTCTTAATGCCTGCGAGTTGGGCAGCCAGAACTAAAGTGACTCCATTTGCCACTTAGCAAAAGCTAACTGCTGCCTCTTGACTTACCAGACTTCTGCTTCCAAGATAAAGGCTTGCTTAAGAAGTCCAGGGACTGACCTCAGGGAAGTCGGCTAGAACTGCAGGACCTCGGCTGTGGGAAGAATATACGAGCACCAGCTGTGAATAGCACAAGCCCAGAGTGGAAAGGACCACCATCTGGCCAATTTCAGCATGATTATCAGAACTGATGGAAGGAACTGGCCCACAGCCAACCAAGCCTGTTTTCTCCATAAACACCTCCCTACTCCCTTCTCCCTCTTAAAAAAAATCCTGTGAGCTTGAGCATCTGGGCAGGTGTTTGTGCTGAAAGCCTGCGCCCCCTTCAAGCGGCTGACTTCTAGATGAGCCCGACCTCCCTGCATCAACGCTTGGCTCTGGAGGACTGGTTTTCAAGCAGCAACTGGCCTGACCTTTGTTCTTTCCGGTAACATTTGCCGTTCCTCCTTCCAAACCATTCTGTCTCTGGTCCACTGGGTGAATGCAGTTTGCAGCTTCGCTCTGTGCTGGTTTGCCAGGTATCTGCTTGTGGTCAGTTAGCTGGAAGCATGAGTGTATTGGGTGGAGCTGCTGGGAAAATTGTTGTTTTCCAGGTAAAATGGGACAGGTTTTCTATCCTTCCTTCCCTCCCTCCCTCCCTCTCCCCCCCCCCCACCTTCCTTCCTTCCCTTCCTGGAATACATCGAGGGTGCCTAAGCATAGCAGCCAGGTTGTGATCATGAGGACGGCAGGAGTAGAAGGGGACTGGGCAGTAGCATCCTCTCTTCTCTGGACTTCGTGCCTCTGGATTTTGCATTGCCTGGAGAAAGAGACTCCTTATCAGCGAAGGCCAGAATAGTCATATTTCTGTAACATGCAGCAGAATCAATCCTAAATAATGTAATGCTGTTTTCATTGTCTGGAGGTGCCATTATTTATTTAACTAGTCTTCTGTAGATGAAAGATGGCACGATTAAAAAGAAAACCCTCATACTATGCTGTTTCCTATGTATGAGAATATTATCTATAGGATAAATTCCTGTAACTAGAATTACTGGGTCAAATGATAGATGTATTTTAAAATTTGGCTGGTGTTGCTGAATTTCTCCCCATAGAGCTTGCACTAACTCTTGGAGAATTCTTAATGTGCTAGGGAACAGCCATCCATATTAAGGCTTCAGGACATACTCAGATATGATCAAAAGCCTAACGCTATTTTAGAATCCCTCCTGGCAAAGTAATTTACTTTTTTCCTTTGGATGGAGAAAGGTTTCAATAGACTCTGCCGCCACGTGCATGATACTGTGTGATCCACTTACTAATTGAGAGGGATTAGCAAAGAGACACTGTTGGTCATGAGCTGAGAAGCCCTGTCCCAGAACTGACCTCAGGGCTGCGTCTCAGACACAGATGTTAAATCCTTTTAGCAAAGACCCTCATCCCTCCTTTTCCAGATGTGACAGGCTACGGATGCAATTAGACAAACCTATTTTGGGCACCTCTTGTATGTCAGATATATCAAGCTTAGCGCTAGAAAGCGATGGGTTCTCTAGTGGGTTGCAATACATCCCTAGGCACGTTGTGTTCAGATCTCAACCTCTGATGCCCGTGACTGGGACCTTATTTGGAAATAGAGTCTTTGTAGGTAAGGTTGCACTGGACTGACGCTTAAATCTGTGAGCCAAGTCTTCCTAAGGGCAAGGAGAGGGAGATTTAGATGCAGACACATGCAAAGGGAAATGGCTGTGTGAAGATGAGGTGGGACTTGGTTATGCTGCCACAGACCGAGGAAAGCCAAGGACTGCTAGGAAGAGACAATGACAAAGAGCACGGCATTGCCAACACCTTGATCTTGGACTTCTAGCTTCCACAATGGTGAGAGCACAAATTTCTGTTGTGGTAAGTCTCCTAGCTTGTGGTACTTGGTGATGGCGGCACTCAAACAAAATCCCAGAGCTGAAATAAAATCCCCTCCTAGGAAACAGAGAGATCACTCTTCCAATGACAGCAGTGATGTTCCCGGTCCGTGGGTCTATCAGCCACCAAATTCTGTAGCTCACTCTCTGTGTCCACGTCTGCCTTCCTACTCCAGACTGGGTTTTCTTGGGGAGAATAACTATCTTCTCTGTTTTTTTTCAAATCTCCAGGGTCATGGAAAGCGATTATCTATTCTATCAATCATCTGTCTTGAACAGTTCAGATTGAAATCACCAGCACCACACAGTGACCACTCACAGACTTGCTGGCGTTGGGGCTTCTGGCTCCTCCCCTTCTTTTCTCTGCCAATGACATTGCCATTCATGCTGTGGCCCAGTGCACTCCCAGTTAGCGCTTCCTCCTCCCTCCCACCTGCAGTGAGTCAGCTCCAACAGAACATCCATGGTTTGTCTCTGTGGCCTATTCTTGCTCTAAATGCCGGCCAGTGCACCCCATGCATCCTCCTGTGGACCCCAGTGTTTAGCTCCATGCTGATAATCTCCTGGTCCTCACCATGGACTCAGATACCCGAGCTCCAGACTCAGCTCTCTCATCACTCCCCCATGTCCCTGCTTGATAATGCGGGAGGTGATGGGCTCAGTCTGTCCCAGCCCGCCCTTCCCCTCCTGGTTTTCCCCTCATTGATTGACTCCGTTCTCTTCCCCACTTGCTCCTGCAGATGCCGGGAGTTGTCTTTTGTTTCTCTCTCTCTCTTACCTGCCACATCTCGCTCAGGACCAAGCCATGGCCGGTCAACCTCCTCCCTAACCTCAGAGTCCACAGCCTTCGCTTCAGCCCTACCACCTAGTTCAGCTCCCGTGTGTTCCCACGGACTGGGATTTTTGCCTCCCATCTTGCTCCTCTGCCGCCCTTTCTCCAAGCTATACTGAGAGCGACTGAACATGAAAGATCACACCTCTCTCTGATCGTGTGACTGCCCTGTGTAAAACTGTGGTAGCCCCAAGTCTTAAGGCTGAACTCCCCTCTTTTTTTTTTTTTTTTGACGGGCAGAGTTAGACAGTGAGAGAGAGAGACAAAGAGAAAAGTCTTCCTTCTGTTGGTTCACCCCTCAAATGGCTGCTACGGCCAGCACTGCCATGCTGCACCGATCCGAAGCCAGGAGCCAGGTGCTTCTCCTGGTCTCCCATGGGGTGCAGGGCCCAAGCACTTAGGCCATCCTCCACTGTCTTCCCGGGCCACAGCAGAGAGCTGGCCTGGAAGAAGGGCAACCGGGACAGAATCCGGCGCCCCAACTGGGACTAGGACCCGGAGTACGGGCGCCGCAGCGGAGGATTAGCCTAGTGAGCCGTGGTGCCAGCCGGCTGAACTCCCTTCCATGGGTTACAAAGTCCTTGGCGACCCAGCACCTGATGCTAGCATGACCTGAGTGCACCCCTTCAATCACATTACACCTGCTTGCCTTCTCTCCCTTCCCTACTGCTGGACACATTGTTCCTTCTGCCTGGAATATTTCTCCCTCCTTTCTTAATCCAGTTGCCCTCAATGCAGTCTTCTAATCTCAGTCCCTAATTCTCATTTCTTGGCGAGGCTTTTCCTAGCCCCCCACCTCTCTCATTCTCCTGCTGTGCCATCCCAGTGCACTGTGCCCGTGTTCTTTCTTGCATGCATTGCACTGGCAATGATCAGTGTTGCTGTCTATATTCTCCCCTAGATGGCTGAAGTTTGTAAGGATAGGGATTGCTGTGTCTTTGGAGCCTAACCCAGTCCCCTCACATAGGAAAGGCTCAATAAAATATTTGTTGAATGAATTAAATCTCCAAGGCACATAGTAAACGCTCCAATGGATTGAACGAATAAATGTAAGTGAACTTTTGTTTATTGCGCTTGCAATTACTTCAAGCCTGTTGCACTCAACTAGATTTTTGCAATGGCACTTCTCGAATCTCTCCGTTTCAACCTGTGCTGCAGAACACATCAGATGAACTGTCTGTCACAAAGTTGTCACCTATATTAGGTAACCCTCAACCAAAAAAAAAAAAAATCATCACAGCACCTAAATAAACACAGCAAAATCCAAACTCGACAGCTGTGCCACACCCTATAAAAGCTTTAACATAGATTCTTTAGATATGGTGCAGTAGAGTCTGTGCTTACGGCCTCTGAAGAATAACCCGGTGTCTAATCAGCATTGTGTGTTTGGAGAAATGTCTCCCTTAGCCCAAGCACATTATTTACATATGAATGTTTGGAAACACAGCCTATTATTGAACTGAGGATTGAACTTGGTTGTTCCTAAAACCCACCAGTGGAATGTTTCCAGGCAGTCAGCAGACACGGGCATGGGTTGTGCTCAGGAGGGTTTAAAGGAGAAGAAAATCTCTCTGGCATATATTTGGATGGTTACTTTGCAACTTGCTTTCCAACCATAAACAAAATGATTGCTTGTATGTCTGATAATTGTTTTTCAAAAAATTAGAATGCCCCAGGGTGGGTATTTGGCCTAATGGTTAAGACGCTGGTTAAGATGACTACACCCATTTCAGAGGGCCTGGGTCCAATACTCACCTCTGGTTCCTGACTCCAAGTTCCTGCTGGCACAAGCCCTGGGAGACAGCAGTAAAGGCTCAAATGATTGGCTTCCTGCCGCCCATACAGGAGACACGGGTTGACTTCCTGCTCTTGGATTTGGCTCTGACCTAACAATGGTTGCTGTGGGCATGTGGGGAGTGAATCAAAGGATGGCAGCTCTCTCCCTCTCTCTGTGCAATCTGCCTCACACATAAATCATTTATAGTTAAAGAAGCCATTGACCTTGGGCTCAGGAACACTTGATTTGTAAGACGCTGACCCTGCAGCCTTTGTGACGTCACCTTGCGGATTGCAGTTGGTCCATGTGGGAGGGGGCTGGCCGGTGAGTTCTTGTTGACTCCGGGTGTAATCGTCGCTCGGAAGCATCTGGCAGCCCCGGTAAGAACCATTTCTGGACACCTCCTCTGTCAGGCCGCTACTCCCAGTTGGGAGTAGGCAGGTGAGGTCTGGGAAGCCGTAAAGCTGGAGAGTCCACCTTTGGCAGGGCAGCCTGCCCTCGCAGTTATTCCCTGATGTTTTGAAGCACCTGCCGCCTACGCTGCCATGAGCCCCTTTCTCCACCAAATGAGGAAGGCATCTGGCTTTCCTGACCTCTTTTATGTCGGAGACCCAGGTGGGTGTGCTGGAAAGCGAGCCCTCTGGCACCGGCCCAAGCTGGATTTTCATCTCAGACCCATGGGAACGTTTAGGCAGTTCATTTAACCTCCCTCACCTCGGTTTCCTAATCTGTACAGGACAGAGAATATTAGTTGTTAAAGCTATTTTGAGAATTAAATGCAATGATTTGGGAAAGCATTTTCCTGGGCTACAATGAGTGTTTGCTAAGCACCGGCTGTTGGTATACATGCCCTTTCATGTTGTTGAGTGGCACTGTGATTGGATTTTAAGCTGGATAGCTGGTGCTGTAGTGAGCGGGCTCTATCACTGCCAGCCTGCTAGTAAGATGTAGGTGGTTATGAGAACAGCAAATTAGGGGAGGCTTCCTGGCTCTTGGGTTGGTCAAGGGTGGTATGTTCTGTTACTGTAGGCCTATTCCTGGGAGGCGCTGGGACCTGAGACACAGACACCTTTGCAGGTGCATTGGAACATGGAGCTGCGCCCACCCCGTGCTATGAAGGGTCTTCCTGACTCAGTACGTGTCAAAAGCCACCTTCTCCATCTCTCCCCCAACTCCACTTTCCCCACAGCCTCGAATGGCAGGTGTTTGAAATTCAGAATTCTTCTCTGAACTGTGCCTTGTGCCACCAACCGCTGAGCCAACCGTCTCCAACCTCAGTTGTGTTAGTGGAGTGAGTAACCCACCCATGCAAATCCACAGCCTTGTGGTTGGCATTCCTGGGACTTCAGACCAGGAGATAAATAGGGAAGGTGCCCGAGGCCCACAGGGACCTGTGGGACCCTGGCATTGCAGGCATCACACCAAAGGCAAGGATGTAAGCATGGCGACCCAATTAATTCTGCCATGTGGAGACCTCTCAAGGTTGCTTGTGAATCGTTCCCGCCCACAGCGTCATGAAGGCATCAAGAACACCCTGGTGGCCCCCTCCCAGTCCCCGACTTGGGGCAGACTCCACACTCAGCGTCGGAAGCCACACTCAGTTTCTGTCGACCTGGCAGAGGTCACGTGCAGAGAGCATACTCTTCCCCCTGCATCTTCATTCTGGATCCTCATGCCAAATCAGCAGGCGCCTCTTATTACTCCCGGTTTACAGAAGAAGAAATGGATGCTTCGAGAGCCTAAGAGGTCACTGAGAGGGAGAGTTAACGTCGGCCCAGCCCACGGCGCGGCACGGATTGTAATCACCCATCACTCTACTTCCTGATCCAGCTGATTACTGCTAATTTTGCCCGGGGACAGAAGTCTTTGGACATCAAATGGCTTTCCGAGCTGCCTGCTCCTGTGGCTTCTCTGTGCTCCCTCCCTGGGTGACTCGCTTTGGCTACCAAGTGTCACTCTTGATCCCCTGGTCAGGGTTGGCGCTTGCCCTTGTCATCGGGTCCGATCGTCCAGATGAACGTTCAGAGGCGGCCGAGCCCTGTCTTTGGAGCCTCTTGCTCCGGTGCTTCCTGCACAGCCTTAGCAGTGATACTGCTGGTGTCTGTCCCCAGATGCGGCCTTCCCCTGGCCTCCCCTCTAGGCTCCTGGTCAGCCTAGATTATCCTCACTCTCTCCATCACTCCAGAGACCCCTGACGAAGACATCCCCCATCCCTGCCAGCAATAACTTTTTCCCAGCCCAGGCCCTTGGAGATGTGCTACGGTACGCTCTCCACTCCCAGCAGACAGGGTCACAGCCGTTGGTCCATAGAGTCAGCCTGTGTCTCTGTCTTCCGCTTAATTATGACAATGCACATGACAGTACAGAAAATGAGCACCTCCATGTCCGATTACAAATGTAGAAGAAAAATGAAACCCTCACAGCAGGCCAATCACCTCCTTGTTAGAACATTCATCATATTTATAAATTGCATTTCTGTACAATTATGTAGTGCAATGAAAAATCTGCCCTTGAGCAAAATAGCATGTTGGTCTTGTTAGATGATTTTCAAGCTTGTTTCTTTACAACCCTGAACTTGACCTTCTATCACTTCCCTCCTCCTGGACAGAGATTGAGCCAGCCACAGCTAAACTACTGGGTGATGCTGGTCTGACCTATCACCTCTTGGCTTTGCTCAGGAACTCCCCAGATTGAATTCATGACCCTGAGCGTGAGTCAGAGGGAGGCGGCTTTCTCCACCTTCTTGACAGTGAGGAAGAAGTTGCAGAGGTGAAAACAGAGTAGGAAGGACAGCCCACCCAAGAAAAAGTGGAGGGGATGTATTTTCCAGGTGATCCCGGTCCCCGGTTCTGCTATTGCGGGAGAAACCTTTCGTGAGTCTGTATTGCAATTGCTGTTGACCAGCCAGGCTTGAATTACTTCCTTTCATTTGTTGGCGTAGAGGTTCTCCTTAAGAGATAGCAAAAGCAATCCAGTTCATGTTATTCTTGGATGAAGAAGCAGCCTATGGAGACAGTGACCATTTAGCACAGACAGAACCTGCCAATCACTGGCTCACTACTGAAGAGCAGGTACAAATCTGGCCAGGCCCACCCTCTGTCAAGGGCAGGCTGACGGTGAGGAGGCCCCGGAAGGGGAAGCGGCTTCCCTGGAGATGTGGTGTCCTGGCAGTATGTTCGGTTCAGGTTAGCAGCCTGCCCTCTCTAGTTCACGTAGTCTCTGGAAGCTTCAGTGCTTCAGTGGCAAGTCTACTTAGAGTAGGTACAACCTATGGTCCTTGGGGATCTACCCCAAGCTGTCCAGAGCTGCACAAATGTTCCAGTCTTCTACTGGAAGCAACATGGGCCTCTGTTGGGGATGTGAGCCCAGAACAGGGGCCAGCGCTACACTCAGAAGTTGCAGGAGGTCCTTACTAGGAATAACCTGATGACGCTCAAGGATTGAGTGTCGGAGGCGGATTCCATCCTTCAGCTAGTACTCACCGAGCTCCCAAGATGTGTGGGGAAGCATGAGAAAACAGAGCGCTGAGGGTACTCCTCATATGGATCTTGTATTTCAACAGGGCAGATAGATAACAAGCAAATTATATAAGGATAATGCAGGTATTGCCCTCTGATGGTGATACGTTCCCAAAAACTGGACAGTTTGTGCAAAATGCAACCCAAAAGTCCATTTCCCACTATGTTACATGGGAACATGATGGTGTGTTATAAGCCCACAAAATCCTACAGCCAACTTCCTAACACGTAACCCAAACATAGATAATACTTCTGGAATACAGATATTCCCCAACTAATGATGGAATCACATCCCAGTAAACACATTGTAAATTGAAAATGTTATAATTTTTAAAAATATTTATTTATTTATTTATTTGAAAGGCAAAATTGCAGAGAGAGAGAGAGAGAGAGGTCTTCCATCCGCTGGTTCACTCCCCAGATGGCCGCAACAGCTGGAGTTGTACCAACCCAAAGCTAGGAGCCAGGAGCTTCTTCCAGGTCTCCCACATGGGTGCAAGGACCCAAGGACTTGGGCTATCCTCTACTGCTTTCCCAGGCTAGGGCAGAGAGCTAGATCAGAAGTGGAGCAGCTGGGACTTGAACCATGCCCACATGGGATGCTGGCACTGCAGGCAGAAGCTTTACCTGCTATGCCACAGCGCTGGCCCTGGAAATATTATAATTTAAATTGCAGTTAATATGCCTAACCTATTGGCTCTCCTAGGTTGGCCACAGCACACTGTAGTTGGTTGAAATTGCCAGCATAGTGAGAAAGGGTTGCGCTGCATAATGATAGCCCAGGAAAATACAAATTCCCGAAGTGCAGCTTCTGAATGCTTATTGCTTTCAATTCTCAAAAACTCGAAAAACTGTAAGCTGAAGCATCGTAGACTGGGGACTGTTTGGATATAACTATGACTACTTAAGTCATTAGTTGTCTTGGTCATTAATCCCTTAATAACATTATTAACACACAGTCCCTCTGTGAAGTAACATCCAGTTTACATACCGTGTCATACATCTTACCGTTAAAGTGACTCCCGGCAAAGAAATCAGCCACATAGCAATCACTTAAACATTTTTAGGTAAAACTACAGATAAAATGTGCGGTAGACTTTTATTCTTAGGGTAAAAAACAGAAAGTGACTTCCTGAAATGAACTGTCACTCAGCACAGAAGATTGAGAGTGCAGGGGTGGGAAAACACCACGGTGGGGGGCAGACGCTCCCCGACACGTGGCACACTTCTCCCAGCATCTACACTGGCCTCTGACGGCTGACATCCCGTGGCTGCATTTGGAGAGTAACGCGAGATTCTGCTGCACACTGCTTTATTACAGATGTCGCATTGAGCTCAAGGGACACAGTAAGTGTTTTTTCCTATGTTAACGTCAACTGAAGACAATATTGCTTTGAGAGATGGGCAGGTTCTTTGGCATGTGAGTACTGAAAACCAGAGGGATCCTATGGTTAGAATATTAGCTTCCAGAGCATGTCTTGAGGCAGAGAGGGTGAGACACGCCAAAGTGAGAAAGCAGCAAGGAAGGGGGTGGTAAGCGGCAATTTAAAACCGTGTGGTCAGCAGTGGTCAGCAGGAGGTATTAGAATTAAAGTCCGAAAGGCCTGCAAGCTACGTGGACTTGGGGACAGGGAGTATCCCAGGCAGAGGGAAGTGTACACGGGAAGTCCTTGTGGTAGAGAGCATTCTAGACTGTTCCCGGGGAACCAGGGACCCCCTGTGAGCACAGAGGAACAGCCTGGTAGAGACCTAGGGAGAACAGGAGGAGAAGGGTCCCTGACAGATGGGAAGCCAGTGGTGGCTTTGCACTGTTACCAATAAGTAAGGGTAGGGCAGGGTCACCATGTCTGGGGCCCCACCCGATCTCCTGTGGCTACCGTGTCTTTCCTGCTGAGCCAGTGCCCGCAGCAGGAAGGACCCGCCCGGTGGAGGGCATGGGCCCAGCTGCGGAAGAGGTGAAGAATCCTGTGGCGTGCGACTCTGCTGTGACCTCCTTGGGGAAATTGCAGAACAGCCCAGAGGAGTGCGGGCTGGAGCCCTTCCCCCGTGGTTTTCCCGTAGGGAGGGCTCTGTTGCCTTCTCAGAGCAGCTGGGGGGATGCAGTGGGGTAGGGTGGGAGGCCGTGGGCGTGGGCTGAAAGTCATCTCCTCCTTCATTTCCACCCAAAATCGCCAACTTGGCCCACTTTCCAACACGGTACTGACGCCCTTTGTCTTACCCAGGGGATGAGAACAGCCACGTGCAGACTTGCAATGCAGGGCTAGGCATCGGAGCAGGTGTCACTCACAGGCACCTGCCACACTTGGTGCTTTATATATGAGCTGGGGAGATGGTTATGTCACCCCCATCTTACAGCTGAGGACACTGTGGCTCGAGAGCTGAGTAACTCACCCAGGATCAGGAAGCCAGGAAGGTTACTGAGCGGGATTCAAAGCCGCGCGTGGCTAGCATCTAGCTTGAACATCGTGGCTGATGCATGGGATTAGACAGAGCCAGGATCCCCCGGGAAGGTGGACACAGGGCGGGAATGGAACAGGTGCTGCATTCTCGGGAGAACAGTGTGAGATCACCTGACTTCCCCATTGTGTGGTCCTGTGGTCCCAGCCTCTTTAATTACGTATCCATCACCTTGAGTTGGGCAATCGTTGAAATTAATGATGCAGAGTCTCGGATCCTGCCGCCAAGGCTCACGTTTCAGCAAAACATCCCTTGCTTGGGAGTTAGTGCTGAAGAAAAGCCATTTTACAAGATACCTGGTTCCATAACCAGGTTTGAAAAATGGGAGAGTGGGTCTTTCTTCTTTTCGCCTTGGCACAGTGGCAGGACGATTCCAAACAAACTTGGAGTATAAAACCGCAGCTGGGTTTTCTCAGAAAGCTCAAGTCTGCGAAAGGCTTTCCTTCTTACCAGTCCTGGGGGCTGCGGCAATGAAATTTTGCTAAATGGGATGCACCTACCAAGCACATTTTATTAGCTCTCCTATCCGACGGTGCTTTCAATTTTTAAAATAGTTGCTTTAAAAAGCCTCCGGGGGCACGCACAGCAATCCCAGTTAATCCCATAATAATAAAAACCAGCCGCGCAAGTGCTGCTGTAACAATAATGACCCCACGCAGGCTTGAACACGGATTGTAGGGAGAGTTTGCTGCCAAGGGGCGTTAGGGATTCACCTGGTCCCTCTCCCCTGCCTTATTAGGCAAAGCGAGGCTCTGTCTGCTTGTGGGGCTTTGCTGAGCTTGCCTGGGGGCAGAGATGGCTGGAGTAACCTCTCCCTGGCCTGGCTTTCTTCCTAAGCAATCTGGCAATGTCTCTGGTGCCTATCCTGGTGGGAACTACCTTTTCCCTTCAGGGCTGAGCGAGTGAAAATTCAACAGGGTTCATTCAACAAACATTCACTACCAGGTCGCCATCTGCAAAGCCCCAGGGAGTTTCGGGGAGGAAAGGAGGAAGGATGGGCTGTTGATCCTACACTTGAAGAACTGTCGTCCAACTGGAGGCAAGGGAATGTCCCTGGGAAACTAAGAGGTAGGTAGTATGGCAGGTGTTTTGGCCAAACAGGGAGGGGGTTGGGAGAAGAAATCCTATAGGATTGCCCTGGGGATGGGTAGAGATTTCCAGAAGAGGTGACAATCGGGAAGGCTTTTTGCACGTGAATGGGAGTCCAGTGGCTGGAGCAGTGAAGGGCTTGGGGTGTGGGAACAGCACGAGCACAGGATGTGTGTGTGGGTTCGGGTTTGTTTAGGCTCCCCCTGGTAGCATTCATGGAGCCAGGAGAGATGTGGAAGAAAGATGCGGCGGGAAGAGTAGAGCCACGGGGCCCACGCGAGGGCAGCTGTGAAGCCACCTGCAGGGACTGATCTCCGCCCTGCAGATGGTCACCAGGACTGGAAGGGAGAGAGGGAGCTCAGCTTTAGGATCGTAAATCCAATGGTGCTAAGAAATGAAAGAGAAATTGTTGGAAGTGAATCTTTGATTTTGCGCACCAATCTAGAGGATTCTTGCCTCGGCAACACAACTCAGGCAGAAAACTTCCCCCGAGCAGCTTGTTAAGGCAGCCTTAGCTCCCTCCTCACTTACAGCCCAAACACCATAAGGTTGTGTTTGGCCTTCAGTTGTCTGGGAAGCAAGAGGTTCACTGGGGTTTTCCAAAGAGGTTCCCTTTGCAAGTGGCCATGTAATGCTATTGAAAACAGAGGTTGCCGCCTGGGCCCAGAGCTTGTGAAATGCCTCTGTGTGGCTTGGCCTTGCCTTCCAGTTTCCAGTTTAACATCCACTGACTTGATGAGAGGCTCATAAGTAATGAGAAAGGATCAGTCCCTGACCATACATGCACAGGCAGGCATGTATGGTCACACACACACACACATACACACAGAGACACGCACCACGCAGACAACAGAAATCAATGTCAAATCCACTTTCCAGAGGCATGTCCCAGCATAGGTATATACACTGAGCCCACAAATATGTGAACAATAGCCAGAATACGTGACCACACTGATCCACAATATGAGCTATGACAAGAATGTATTTTTAGAAGCATCCTTTCCTTTAAAAGTAGGATTTTATAAAGGTAGCAGGAGAACAAAGAATAAATTATGAAGGAAAGAAATTGATTATGGAACAGATTCTAGAAAGTCAAAAGACCAAGAATTCTCTGGCATTCCTGGGGGTCCAGGCAGGTGGGTTTGATATGGAGGCCAACCAGTTGCTGGGGATACAGATGGAGAGACAGATGGCTCCAGATGGGCAGGAAGTGAGGGGGAACATAGGCAGAAGACCCAGCCATTGAGTGTCCCAAGGATGGAAGTCATTATGGGGACACGGAGCTTTCCAGAGCTCCCTACGAGCCAGGGTTGCCCTATTTAGCAAAAAAAGAAAAAAGACAAAAACAACAACAATAACAAAACTCAGGGAGCCCAGTTCAGTTTGAATTTAGGGGAACAAAATTTTGATATGAGTATATAATAGTTAGGAAATATACTAAAAAAATTTGTTTATCCAAAATTCAACTTTAGCTAGCATTCAGGATTTTGGTCTTGCAGCCACACAGAGAGGGTTGCTACACATCTGGATGAGACTTTGCATATGAGGTTTTGCTCAGAGCAAGAGTATCTGGAGCCGGAACTCAAGGTCAGCTTCTGAGTGGCACCATGAATTTTCAGGGGCACCAAGACTGGTGCAGCGGGGTCAGGGATGGGCACGCAGCTGGCCAGTGCTGCCTGTGGCATAGCACAAAGTAGACTAAGTCTCTGGGGTGTCACGGGGGAGTCTGTAAGGCTGCACATCATGAATACGCCTCTATTATTTCCACCAGCAATGATTTCTGTCTCATTGATTTTCTTACAAATTGAGTCCTATTTGCAAGGCCATTGGAGCCCATTTCATTTCTTTTGACTTGATTTGATTTTTCACCCTGCCTTGTACTCTACTTCCGTGGTCATTATGCACAAACAATATTCTGTCTTCATTAGCTGAATATATTGCATCTCAACTCACTCTGGGCATTTGCCCTGCGTGGTTGGCATTAAAGACTGGAAATTTCTTCTCCCCACGATGGTGCAGGGCCAGACGCACAAGGCTTGGGTGAACATGGAAACAAAGACAAAATGAGTCTCTCGATCCATCTCCCACTGGTTCGCCTTCTCATTAACTCATTCAACAAACACCTATCGAGGGTCTACCATGTTGGTCGCTCGCCAGAAGCTCAGAGAAGGTAGAAGAGAAGCAGGCATACTTCTTGCCCTCAACGTTCTTTTCCAACAAGTGAGCCATGTGGGGTTCAGGGAGTGTCAGAGCTGCAGCAGGGCAAGGACACAGCCAGCAGAGGCTCGGGAGGGAGAGAAGGGTGGGCCGCCCTGGAATGACAAAGCAGCAAACACAGGAGTCTGCAGAGAGAAAGCGGGTGTGTCTGAGGGCCTGAAGGAGCTTCAGGGGGCCCAGGGAGGTTGGAGAGAGGAGGCTGGGCAGGAAGGCGCGGCTGCTCTCCATGGACTTTGCCGTGATAAGGGTGTAACTGAGCTCAGGGTCCGTTCTCCAACCTCGTGTGTGTCCCTGTCCTCTTGACGTAATACGATTAGGATACTAGACCTAGGCTGGAGAGGCTGGTGAAAAAAATGACATTTTGTTTAAAAGTCAGAATGAGGATGAGAGAGAGAGAGAGAGAGAGAGAGAGAGAGAGAATCTCATTTCTTGGTTCACTCTAAATGTCCATAACATCCAGGGCTGCACCAGACCAAAGCCAGGGTCCAGGAGAACAATAATCCAGGTCTCCCGTGTGGGTGGCAGGGACCTGACTACTTGAGCCCACTAAGTGTGCACTACCAGGAGGCTGGAATCAGGAGGAGAGGCAGGATTCACACCCAGGTGCTTCAATATGGGATACGGGCATCCTAAGTAGCAGCTTAACCACCATGTCAAGTGCCTGCCCTTTCGTCTGGTTTTAGAAGTAGCAGCAGATCAAACAAGCAATGTTCTGACTTCATAATGAGTCTGCAGTTCAAATAAAATAAAGTTCCTAAATGGATCCATTCTAACCCAATTTATTTCACTTTGGAACATTTGAAACTCAATGTGATTACAAAAAATCACCACAGGCCAAGGAAATTGTTTACAAATCTCTTTGCCTATCTAAGATTTCCACCCTTGTAGATACTCGAAGCAAAGAGAAATTCTTTAACACCGGATCTTCATAAATATTGGAGATAGTTTATGATGACATTACCCACAATAGAGCCCTTGTGAGCATTAGCTAAGTAAACTCATTAACAATATGTTTGTATTTTTCTTCATTTGTTTAAGCCACATGGAAATTACATATGCTCTCAAGAAAAGTCTCCGGAACTGGTTGAAAGCTATTTAAAAATATTCAAAGCAAAGCACACTTTTGAATGCTCAGGGGGCATAGACTTCATCTGGAGGAAAATCAAACATGAGAGAGAAGTACCTCCTTATTTTAGCCTTTGTTGTTGGAACTCCTATGTTTTTTGTGTATTCCACTTTCCCGCCTGGGTGAGTAACGTACGTTGAGTCTTTGATAACCAAAGTTCTTGTGTTGGGCCACACTGTACATGATCGTGAACCCACAGCATTGTGGAATGTCACACTGAGAAGGAGCAAGAGAGAGAATCTTACCATCCCCTCTTTTATCAAAGAGGAAGCAGAATTCTGGAGAAGGAAAGAGCGGTGCCCCAAATCCAGCTCCAGTCAGGCCCCGGTGCCCTTTCCAGACTGGCTCATTCCAATGCTCGTATTCCCCATCTGTGTAATCACACAGGACAGGGATGCCACACACGTGGCTGAGCACAGAACCCTGGAAAGTGAATTTTTACATCAGTACCTGTTGTCTGTGTGTGCGTGCAGTTAGCTGTTATCTTGCGTCATAGAGCATGGCTCTTCAAACTACGGTGATAGGACAATTCTTTTTTGAAAAATGATTTCTTTCTTTCTTTCTTTCTTTCTTTCTTTCTTTCTTTCTTTCTTTCTAACCCAGAGTTACAGAGAGAGAGAAGCAGAGACAGAGACACACAGAGAGAGAAGTCTTCCATTTGCTGATTCATTCCCCAAATGTGAGTGCAAGGGCCCGAGTGCTTGGGCCATTTTCTGCTGCTTTCCCAGGTGCATTAGCAGGGAGCTGGGTTGAAAGTGGAGCAACCCAGGACTCGAACCAGGGCCCATATCTGTTATGCCACAATGCTGGCCAGGGAAGATTCTTTGTAATCATGTTTTTGTTGCTTATAGATTTTTTTTTAATTTTTAGGGATTTTATTCAGTGAGAAATGTGCAGAAAAGTTAGGGCTTTATTTAGGGGAGAAAGAGAGGTCTAGAAGCTAAGTTGGGTCCATACAAAGCAGAGAGCAGGCCAGGAACTACGGGGAGCAAACGTATGGTTAACAAGCAGCCACAAGTTGCTGGACACAGCAGCAAAGTGAAGGCAGAGAGCAGGCCAATAGGCCACATGTCCTGAAGATGTGGGGCAACAAGGGAGGGGCCCATTGTGTTTCAGGACTTTTATTCACTCCCAAAGGGGAGTGATTATGTAGTCTGATTGGCAGGTGGGTGTACAGGTAGGGGTGTGAGATCACACAGAGGTCGTGGTCTTCCAGCTCACAAACCTAATTGATTTTATCCTAACTGCCTGCCTACATCATTCCCCATGAGAAACTCCAGTCCCTTAACCTTAAGGATGTTGAAGGGCATAGAATCATCCTATCTTCTAGAGCTGCTTCCTGCTTATTAGGGGCATGGCTCAGGCCTTGCCTGTCCTGGGTCTGGAAGTCTCCACCTATCTCATCTAATGAATTTGCTTTAGGAGCTGGAGTAGTCTCTGTCACCACCAATGGCTGTGTTCCCTGCATGATCAGTTATTTCCGAAAGTTGTTGAGTTCTGAAACATGCAAGTTTGTCAATTAGCATAAGCAAAACCAGAACAAAACCAATTGCCAGTGGTGTGCCCCTTAGGATGGAAAGAACCTGTTTACAGACTCCCAGATAGTGGGTGGTGATAGGTTACCCTTATGTAGATTATAAAGCCATTTAGCTTGAGTATAGAGAATTATAATAGAAGAACCCATGAAAGAGTTTTTGGCAATAACAGCTCCCAGAGAGAATCAAATGAGGAGGCGGGCACAGCACGTCTGCCTTAAGGTGCATCAGTCTTGATGTGATGAAAGCGAAAGCCTTCCTTATCTTTCTGCTTTTGAGGAGGTGCTTAAGGTCTCTGACTGGCTTATGGGAATTATGTCTTTGGAGTTCACCTGTGAGGACTTAAGAGCTACAAGTTTAATTCTAATTTTACAGAGGTAGTCGTGCTCAGTAGCACCCGGTGAGTTCTCTTCCCGTTGAAGCTGCAACTGCTCTGGAGAGGGTCTTTCTGCGAATGGCTTGTTCAGGAATTCCTAGTGCCGGAGCTGCTGTTACAAGCCCTTTGGTTCTCTGGAACACCTTCTGTAGCTCCCCTGTCCAGCACAGTGTGTCTGTGTCAGGGCCTTTTAAACCTCATACAAAGGCTTGGAATCCAACTCCTGGAATCCATACTCCACAGAATCCTGCCACCAGGGATTCCCAGTGTTGGAGCTTCTGTTAAAAGCTCCTTAATTCTTTGGAACAACTTTTGTAGCTCCCCTGTCCAGCACAGTATCTGCATCAGGGCCTTTTATACATTTATACAAAAGCTTGGAATCCAAATCCTGGAGTCATATTCCACAGAATCCTGTCATTCCCAGAAATGTCCTGAGCTGCTTTTCAGTCTGCGGTGATTGTGTGTGTGTGTGTGTGTGTGTGTGTGACCTTCCTTCCTCTGACTGAAAGAGCACACTTTCCTGGAGCTGGAACATACCCAGGTAATCTACATCTAGCTTAGAAACCTGGGCTTTTGTTTGGGAGATTCTGTACCCTCACTCTCCCGGACTGGGTTTAGTAGGATGCAGAAGACACTATCCCTTAGGCAAAGGTTTAGCACCCACTAAGATGCATTGAGACAACTGTCTCATTGGTAACCCTGAGGCCTTGAACCACTCTGTACTCTGTATTTGACCTTATGTTAAAACAGATGAGGTAGGAATATCACAGAGACACGGATCCAAGAGTTCGTGTTTGAGACACTTAGTTAACTTTAAAGAAACATCCAAGAATACAGGCAATGGAATTTGACATTTAGACATAACTGCAGCTTGGGATTCATAAGAATATAACACACTAGAGCCAGATAAATCTTTGGAGACAGGTTTTACCATTAATGCTGATACTGTAGCTCTTTGAAGACAGAGGTCCTGCATGGGAAGTTAGTGCACAGTGACTCCTGATGTTAATTTAATAATTAACACTCTTATGTATGACGTCAGTGATCACCTGAGGCTCTTGACATGAGCTGCCTAGGCTATGGAAGCTTTTTGAATCCACAAAGTCTG